AGAAGCAATTAAATCAATCCATTAATTTCTCCTGTATACAAGCAAGTGAGCAGGTAATGTTTACAGAGCTTAGTGTTATTATTTGACAGATCACAATCAGCTTAAGAAACTGCGATGGTTTCAACTGCAGCTGGTAATTATTCCAATTGAAAAACTTTTCAGTTATGTAAATAAACATTAGAAACGTCTTCCCCAGGGAAGACATGTATAAATTATTACAGGAAGTGTACAAGATGGAAAGAAATTAATAATGAAAGTTTACCAAGGCATATAAAAGATCTGAAGAATTGGGCAGACATACTTTCCGGGATAGAAATATTCTGTGCTGTATTGATTCCTAAACTTAATGAAATCTCAATAAAAAGCACTCCTACAATAAATAGTAAAATGTAAGCAATGAAATAGAAAAAAATGGCAAAGGAGATGAAGAGAAAATTGTCTAAGGAATACAATTGGCCAATCCATAAATGAAAAGAAACTTAAATTTAATAATAGGTGCACCAACAAAAGTATACAACAGGTGATTTACAAAATTATCATTTTTAACTTTTTTTTTAAACTGGGTATTGAACCCAGGGTTACTTTACCACTGAGACACATTCCCAGACAGGGTCTCTCTAAATTGTTAAGGTTGACCTCAAACTTGTGATCCTCCTGCCTCAGCCTCCAAACTTGCTGGGATTATAAATGTGTGCCACTGTGCCCAGCTAGAATTATATTTATAAAGTTTAGGAGACACAGATATCTATCAACTAAGAAATAGAGTAGAACACATTATATAGTTATAAACAGTGAGGTAACTCTGTATTTTTTGGATCCAGAAAAGTATAGTACATGGTTTTAAAAAATTAAAAGTTACAAGAAATATCACTTTTATGTTAAAATGACACTATATATAATAATGTGTGTGTGTCCACGGAAGAACATCTGGAGTGTTCACATCAGTCTATCAACAGGGAGCAGACAGATGGGGCAAGAAGGGAATGGGATCTGCCACTTGCTTTATATACTTCCGTGCTGTTTAAATGTATTTTTTAAAAGCATTCTTGTATTCGCTGTGTAATGAGTAAAAAAATAGTATTATAGGATTTTAGGTTCTAACTGCAGCCCTTTAGTTCAGCTAGATTTCAGCATTCATTCCCAGCTTTATTCAACATTGCATTGTAGATATTCTATATTTTCTTGGACATAATTTTTCTCCCATTATTACTATTTTAAAAAATCAGGCCTTTGTGATATTATTGTTATGAGCATTTATTGATTGATACTGGAATTAGGCAAGGAGCACTTACTACTTATTGAGCTTCATCTCCAGTCCTTTTTTTTTTTTTT